CTGCTCATACAGAATATCCACAATGTGTCACTAGAGCCTCCACAATAGCACTTCACTGTATTTATTAATCCATTGCCATGGTGATTACAGCAATCTGACGTGCAAGTCTAATGAATTTTTGGCACATCTGGAAATTGTGACGGTCGTTGCCTGGAGAGCCTCCTAAATCAACCTGCTTCTTAGTATGGTTGCCTTTTCCAGTGTATACAACATTGAGAAATGGATTACGTGATCCATAACTTTAACTATCCTGCATTAGTTGATCTCATACTATGGATGTGTATCTCACAGTATGTGAATCATAGGGGAGCTAGAATATGGTGACAGATAATTTAAACGTGAAATTGGTATGCTGGGGACCTGGTAGGAATAGAAGAGAAATACTGGCAAAACGTCAAAGCAACTGAATGGGAAAATATAGGTGTTTGTGACTAGCTTAAAAGCAACTTTTAGTGGAGTGTGGTATTTCAGTGTTTGGGGAGGTGATTGTTTTTTCATACTACTCAGATGTTTTGATTCCCATTTATTCCCTTCTGTAATTACATCCCCTTCAGTTTACAGGTGGACATTTTGCAGCAAAGCTGATTTAGGTCTATGAAGTCTCACTTCACATCTGAGATAAAAGATCATACATTTAATTTGCCCAATATACAGATGCACAGTTAGAGTCAGAAGGAGGAGGTTAGCTTCCTGTTATTCCTGTTATTCACTTGCATTGAGAATTGCACTAAATTGTTTAACTTGATCTCATGTTTCCTCACCTGCAAAATAAGATACTTACAATCTTTCTAACTCATTAGGTAGGAATCAAATGAGATGCTCTATTTGTTCTAAAGATAGCACCTGGGAGGCAAGAAGTAGACACCAACATAGACCCCTATTGTAAAAGGGTAACTGTTTTTGGACAGACATAGGTAGGAATTGGAAATGGCAAGAAGCATTCCTCAAAACAGTCAAAGCTCACCACCTTTTCAAAGATCACATTCTGGCATCTCTCACTATCCCTACACATCTTGTCCACTTCTCTCCTTTCTACTATGGCATCCCGGAGAGGTCTTCCTGCATGTGCTCACAGGGGCCTCTCTGAGCTTGAATCTATCCTAGCACCTGTTGACTCCTATAGTATAGGCAGCCACCAGTCCTTGCTGCTCTGTGGACTTGTCAAGCTCTCTTCCAGATCAGGACTCTGTATTCTTCAGATCCTTTTCTCTGTTTCTTTAGTTTGCTCCTTTACCACTGCAGTTAAATCGCTGTTCATATTTTACCCTCCTAAAGTGGCCTTCTATGCAATTCCACCAGATTGTGTATGTGAACTCTACTCCTCCTTCTCCCCTACTTGCTTTTATTTCCTTTACAGTGTCTATAACTATGTAATTTTTTTGTCTATTTCTTTAACTAGAAATTGGGTCACTTAGACCAAGAACTAACCTCTCTCTCTCTCTCTCTCTTTCTCTCTGTCCCTCTCTCCTTCCTTCTTTCCTTCCTTCCCTTCTTTCCATTTTATTCCTTTCTTCCTTTCACCTGCTGTATCCCCCTTCATCTCACATCCAATAGCTGTTCAGTAAATATGAGAGAATGCATTTCATAAGTGATTGAATGAATGTCCATCTACAGGTTTGTAATTCCAAACTTGTAAGAGAAGAAATTAACTGATCCATTTCACATCTTAAAAGAGACTGCTCCAGTGAATTTCTAGCTGACTTATAAATTGTTGTTCATGACTCAGTTGCCCACTCCTTTCTGATCAGATGGGATGAGATGGGGGCTATTTCACATGGCACAGAGCACAGGCATTAAGAGCATCAAAGTTAAGGGAGGTAGATCCCTTAGGTGGTCTGAGTAGTTCAGCCCTGATGGTTCTTGGGCTTGCTGGTATACCAGTTTAACCTCTGCAGACATGGAGAGGCCATATACATCTGGCTAAGAATCTCAGTTGGCTCCTTAAAGTACTAGCTCTCTCTCTTCAGTGAAAATTGTCTATGATAGTAACATTTAAAAAATTTTCTCTGCATTTCATATAAAATTTCCTTGAGAAAATAATAACATTTATATTTAATATTTTTTAGTACTCTTTATGATTCTGGAAACAGCATATTTACATAGCTTACCTCCTGGAATCCTCAGTGACCAACACTATAAGTAGGTGCTAGGATAGTATTCATTTGTCATGTGAGGAAATGTGAGAATAGGGAGAAAATGAGTTACCTTAGGTCATTTAGTGAGTGAGCAATACAACAGGATTTGAACTCAGGAAGTGTTGCTCTAGAACTCCAGATAATAAGAGTAATTTTTATCCATTCACTCCACTGCGGGATCTAGCACAAAATCTATATTTTCTTATAAATAGCATCCTCATAAGGTAAAACATGTAAATATCCTTTCTGAATGAAACAATAATATGTGCAAACTATTTTTGCTCAATAAATATTTAAACACATTAAATGCACTTCACTCTGTGCAGTTTTAGACTTAAGCTCTAATATTTTTCTGTGACTTTTGTATTGCTTTTTTTGGCTACACATTACATATTACTTAAGTTTTTGGCCCAGAGAGGCAGAGTTGTCAATTAAGAAGGTTGCCAGTTTTTGAAATAAGCAAATATCACAACCCTAAAATACCATGCTCTGCATTATGCTTTTGCTTCAGATTTTGGCAACATTCCTTAACAACAAATGCAAAAATATGTCAAAATAGTCCTAAATGAGTGGATGTTTACACAATTGATATGGGCAATGTGTCATTTTATTCTCTCTCTCTCCCCTCTGTCTGTATCCCTGTCTCTCTGTGTGACTCTGTCTATTTTGCTATGTCCTTCTCTCTTTCTCTCTCTCTGTCACAGTCCTAAGGATTGAACATAAGGCTCTGTTATGCCATGTAAGCACTCTACCCCTGAAGTACAACCCCAGCCCCTTTTTGATTTTTTGAGCTATGTTTGTAATAACATGAACACACAAGGTAAAAGATAGATGCCAGAAAAGAGAATAATCCACCCTCACCCTTTTCTTGGCATCTACCATATGCCAGGCACCATGTGGGACACTGAGAAATGTGATGATGTATCAAGCAACATTCCAAACTCATGCTGTATCCTCTTTTCTCAATTACAAGAACCTGAAAAATCAATATGTGACCGCTCCAAATCTTTGTAATATCATGGAGTGTGGAAAGTCAATAGCTCCATCTCTTGAACATGTATAGCTTTCTATCACTAACTGATAGGTTCTCTCTTAAAAAGAGCTACATGCTTTCATTACTTTAAACCAGCAGGTGAGAATTATCCCTACATTGTATATATAAAAAAGGGCTTATAGGAATGAGAAGGAAAGGCCATATTTATAAATGCCAATGTGTGGGCTGTTATTCTTTTCTACATGTAAATAGTATATTGGTTCTTTTTCTTCTTTATATTTTTGCATATATGCTTTGTACAAAAGGCCATAACTTGCTATAATGAGTCTTGATCTCTCTCCTCCTAGTGAAGTTGTTCAAGGTCATCATGGCCCCATATCCATCAATCATGTGTGTCTCCCAGATTTCCTTCGTCAGTGGTACATACCAGGATGATAAATGATTCAGTGCTCATATCCAGGAATCTGAGTGGATAACTGTCATTTTAGTTGTTGGTTATAATTCAAAAAAAAATCATTGACAAACTTGTCTAAGGAAAGAGATAGATGTAAGTCAGTTTTATGTTTTATGAACAACAAATCTTGGCAATTTGTTATTTTAAATAGGCTTGATGCCTACTCAAGTTTAAATGGAATCAATGTGTCCTCCCTGAGGATAGATTGGGGGTCTCAGGAGGAGCATCATTCCTTTCAAGTGGCCATCCTGCAGCATGAAGGGGTAGTGCATGAGGGCAGAGACTGGACGTTCACCTGGCTGAAGTCATTGCATTAGGAGAATGAGCACCCTTGGACTGCTCACTGAGACCTTATTTTATTCTCTTTCTGGAAGTAGTAATTACTTCCTTACTTTAAAAAAATTCATTATTAAACTACTTTTTATTTACTAATCTAAAGAGATATACTACTTTTACCATAATGATAAGGCCTTACTATTAAAAATAAAATAGAGAACACCAAATAGTTTTTCAAAACTCCTCTGAAATACTACTGTCCAAAGAAAACTGTTGGTATTAGAGGAAGTCTTAGAACAATATAAAGTACTTATAAAATAGCAAAATAAATTCAAGCTTTTTTAGGAATTTAGTAAATAGTAAAATGTTCATTTGAAGTTGGAGAGTTTCACTTTTTGTTCCCCAGGAAATTTTGTTTGTGGAATTGCATATTTTTCTCAGGAAAGCAACTTGTATTCAATCTCACACTTAAGCATACACATTTCAAACATATTAAACATTTTATTTTTTAAACAGTGAAAAAAGTCATTATGACGTCATATATTAGTATTTCAAAACTTTGATCTTAGAAGACCTTTTAAGTTGTGTCAGAAATTCACAAACTAAAAAAAAGTGTATTTTGCTGAATGAAATAGAAAGTTTCAGTATATCAAAAACAAACATGCAAAACATTAGTAGATCATACATGAAATTAAAACAGAAAAGAAAATGGGGAAATTGACAATATATGATTACATATGACAGCTAATTTTATAATCTTCTAAAAGTACTTGCTTTTAATATTCAATCACATTAAGACAGAAATAACAGTAGAATAATATACAAAGACCAATCCTACAGAAGAAGAGAAAAATCTGTTTTCTAAATGATCAAAATATCAGTAAGTGGGCTGGGGATATAGCTCAGCAGGTATAGCACCTGCCTGGCAAGCACAGGGTCATTCAATTCCTGGTTCCAAAAAAAACCCCCACATCTATCTATCTATCATCTATTTATCTATCTTGATATAGATATTTATATATGTATATCTATATGTATATATCAATAAGTTTTGACTTTAGCAGTATTTAAAGAATCCATAGAATATATTTTATTGGTATTCTTGGAAACTCTAGTACAATTAGAAAATGTAAAGATTTTGTTTTTTTTTGGGGGGGTGAATCAATAAGCCATTAGAATTTAGGGTCTGATGTTTCCAGCTTGTATGGTGCTTAGCTTGCATATACTGTCTAGGAGACAGGCAAGACTAGAAGTATTCCAGGTGATTCTACATGGAAGTCCACAAATGTCTTAGAATTTCCTAGATTTCATTTGTAGTAGTTAATGCTCTATCTATGAGATGTAGTTGTAATAGCAATATGGAAATAAGTGATTGACAGTTGTTCAAAATGTAAGTTGTGAATACTTTCTCATGAGTGATAGTTATGGCTCAATCACTATGAAGCTCATGCTGCTATTAAAAAGAACCTTCCCCTCTTTCCTAATGCTAAGTTCAGGCTCCTGTAGATCTTTCATAATTTCTGCTTTGAGACCCGGTGGTGCTGTTGCAGTGAAGTTGCAGGTTTCTGTCAAAAAATCCCAAAGCAGTTCTCCATTTTCATTACCCTCAATAAAACAGTCAGTTATGTCCATGGTGGACAGAAGATCGTAACACTCATACTTAATCCCCAGGTTGTCCAATATCTGAGTGAGATGAGATGATGTGATATACAGGCAGAGGTCATTGCGGGGTAGGCGGGGTCCATACTTTTTCCACAGCTTGCCCCAGCCACTGTTTCCTGCACAACAGAACAAATTTCAGGTTTTCATTGATTCTTTCTTTCATTTCCTTTCTGTCAGTTAGCACACTACATGTATGGAATAGAGTGGTGAACAAAATAGTATTCTCACCCTGTGTGAGCTCAACTCGAGGAACATGCTGAGGGAAAAATTTATTTATTTTTTAATAACAGAATATATTTACTAGGGGGAAAGAAAGCTTGTACACTGCCTGGAAATTTTAAATAAATAAATACATCTAATATTCAACAACAATAATTACTAAATGAAAATCTAATCAGAGTAAGTGATGAGGAAGTTCAAAGACTTCAGGCACTGCTCTTTTAGTTGGGGTGGCCCTAGAGGTCACTTTAATAAGGTGACATTTGAGCAGAGATCTGACAGCAAGCTATGTAGGTGTCAAAGAAGAGAAACAGCAAAAGACCTGAAGTAGGTGCTTGCTTGGCATGTTTAAGAACTAACCCAAAAGCCTGTGCAATTGGTGTTGTGTGAGCAAGCCAGGAGACAGAAAGAGATGGGATTGGGTGGGAGGAAGAGGGCATACAAGAGGTACCAGATCACAAGAGGCCAGATAGGAAACCATTTGTCGTCCCACCCGGCAAAATTTCTGTACTGATGCAAATATTCTATATGTGTGTTGTGACCAATCTAACTGAGGAACTTAATTTTAGTTTTCATTTCATTGTAATCAGTTTTTATTTCACCATCAATATCCAAATGTGCTTTCCATATTAGATTATACAATATTTATGTGACTTAACTTACATTTAACAAAACCATACAGATGAAAATAGACTATAAGGAGGTATGACCAGAAGTACAGAAATAGTCAGTGACTACTATAATAACATGATATGTGATGGTAACTCAGACCAGAGCATTAGGAAGCACATAGAAAAGATTGGATGTATTTTAGATAGAAGGCTTCTAGACTCAGTGGAGTTTTGAACAACTTAGATATAAGGCATGAGCAAAGATAAAGTTAATGAAGGCTCCAGTGATATCTGCCTGAGCACATGAATAGAAAGAATTTCCATTATTAGAGATGAAAAGAATGAGAGAGGTGCAGTTTCAAATGTACCAGTCAGCACCTGGTTTGGAAATGTAAATTTGGGATACCTATTGGACATTCAGGTGGTGATAAATAGAAGGCAGTTATTTGTGTTAATCTGGAGTTCAGGGGGTGGCTGCCTGAATAGTAAACTGAAATGGAAAGAAAAACTACAATAAGTGAATGACGACTTACTCAAACCAAAGAGATAGACTCTTATTTCTATGCATCATTTAAAAGATGCCGTCTTGTACTGCCATTAATTAGGTTGATTTCTACAAATTTCGTTCCCAGCTCTAGAGGACAATTTAGCAATATCTGTTGTACCTAACTGAAAATGCAACCCAGCATCAAAGCTAAGAGATGTATCATATGGATACAGCAGAAGTCCCCACATTTAACTCAACCCAAAGGAGTATCAAAGACAGGAAATGTAAATAATCATCTAGATAGTTGATTGTTTACTAATATTCAGAAGATAGACACACTCTACGAAAAGGTGAGACAGAAAAAATAAATCTCAGTTGAATGGAAAACAAAAAGAGGGTCATAAATATGTACTTAAAAATCTTTCATGCCAAAGATGGTGGACTGTCTCCCAGAAGAGAAGCTGGTACCATCATTATTATTATTTTTAACCTGGGAGAGAAAATGGCACCAAACACTAATTGCAGAAAATTCACTGGTGTCAGTGCTGTGACTCAGTGCTGTGTATGAGCACAGCAATTATCCTCTGTCCCACTGAGGCATTACCATCACAGCTCTCAGTAGGTACAGCATATGGTGTTACTTTTGTTTTCAACATGATACAAACTAGATCCTTTTTTCCCACAGAATTAAAAATAGCACACCGTGACTTGCCTACTTCCTTAGTCAGGTAAGGAGAGGAAAGACAGAAAGTTTCTGAGCTCCTTCTGCCTCGTCTCCCTAAACTAAATAGGTTGCCTTTTATTTAGCACATCTCTTATCTAATGTTTGGCTACAGCACTTGCATAAGCACATGTCATTGATATTATTTTAGTCTGGGTATACTTTATTTTTTAAAAAATCAAACTCTTTTGCTCATATTTTTTTATTTATTTTTTATCCCAAATCAATGTCTTTCATCTTCATAATTAAGAAGTATTTACTGAGCTCAGCTGGTTCTGTGATGGATGCTTAGGAACATGAGGAAAAGTTCTTCTGCCCAAAGCAAGAGGTATTCCAATAGTTTGGCCAGTAAGTGTCATCCCTTAGTTCTGATTTCCATTTGTCTTTCTTTTCCTAAATAGTTTTACTTGCTTCCCATTTATTGTTTTTGTGCAGTGTGTGTGTGCTTCTGTGTATCTTTTTATTGAACCTCTTACTCCTATCTATTAAACCCACTTACACATCAAGACCTGGGATTTTATTCCCAGCCCTGAAACAACAGCAAACTATCTGCAAATGCACAAGACTTTCTGTGTTCCCTGATTTCTTGTCTATATGTAGTCAAATTTAGATGATATCCTTTCTCTTCGGTGGATGGAGGTTTAGAGCTAATAATAGTTCTGATATCACAATGTAGAAATAAACAATCATTCAGGTCCATTCAGACACATTTTGAGTTATCTTTTATGTGCCAAAACTACAAATATCAAGAAATACAGTTGAGAGGCAAAGACCTAGTCTCAAGGACTCTCCTGAACTCCCTAAATGGCTCCAATGGGAAGCAGTATACTGCTGAAAGTGTTTCCTATGTGAGCCCTCCTTTAAATTACAAGTCTTTCAAAGACATAGGAGAAGTTCCCTCTGAAGCGTTCAGAGCATACCAGAGTCTCTCAGTAGCAGCTCAATTGGCTGAATGTATCACACCCATAAATCATTATCTTGTACAGCAAACATGGAACTGAGAGGACAGCGGTGCTCTGAAGATGTCTAAACACACTGGGTGCCTTAGTGAGACTAGATACTCTGTATAATTACATCTAGAGACCAACTCCACATTTTACTACCTTACTGCCAAATAAATTTCACACGTAAGTGTCTGGATGGTGAGCACATAATTAAGTACCGCATTCTTTTCAATGAAAGAACCCATCTGTTTGGCAGTAGGTTAGAATCTGACTGAGATGGGCAGCTGTGAATCGAGCTAGGTGGATACTTCAGATCATTCTTGAGAGCAAGATATGGCTGGAGATGCACAGTGAGTCTAACCGGAAGAGATCTTGGATGGATGAGTGCTCTTAGAAATTTAGTTCCATGAATAGTTCGAGTGACCTCAAACTGCCTATAAGAAGTACTTGGTTTTCCACATTGCAGAGCATTTATACAAGAAGGTGTTACATACAGAAACATCTTTGTTGTTAGGTAATTATGAAGTAAATTCCATTTAGAAAGTAATCACAACTTAAATGTGAATAATGTCCTAAAACTCGAAACACCTATACCAAAATGGGTCACACTGGGCTGTGTTTTGGCCAAGCCTTGTGTTACCTTTCTAAGTTGAGAATGGGGTTTCCAAAGGCACAGTTTGGGTTTTGAAGACGGGCAAGGATGATGGTTCTGAAAAAGTGAAAAGGAGGGATGTAGAGGGGCACCTCACCTAGGGAAGTTTCTTGATGTGTTTCTTGTGCACAGACTGGTGTACCAGATAGGGATCTGAAGATAATTTTTTCAGTTTTCTGAACTGTAAACCCAGAGCCTTTGCATTGAGCTATATTACCAACCATTTTTCATCTTGTTTTTAGTTTTGAGAAAGGGTCTTGCTAAGTCACTGAGTTTCTCAGGCTGAACTGAACTTGTGATCCTCCTGCCTCAGCTTCCCAGACTGCTGAGATTACAGTGGAATGCCACCAGACCTGGGTCACTATTGTCAGCAAATTATAAAAGTGAGCAGTAATCACATAGGTTGTTCCTATACATATTCACTAATGGTAATCTAAAAGATTCTAAAATAAAATTGGGGGAAGGATTAAATTTGTTTCCACTGCTACAAATGAAGTTTTATCCATTTTTCTAAAGGCAGACCCATAAATCATATTTAGTATTGATACAACAAAATAATTACTGCTGTTTTTTTTTTTTTAAAGAAAATATGTCACTTCTTCATAATGAGGGAGTAATGGAATTTGTCTCAAGCACATGCATGTTGTTCAGACAGGCTTGTGGATGCACGGGCTTATCTAGGTGCTAGCAGAAGAGCAGAAGGAATTAAAGTTCTCTCCCTAACAAAAAAGAAGCCTGGGATACAAAATAAAAAGCTGGCATCTCAGCACTGAGCAAAGAGAATACGAGGGTGGTCTGGGGTGCTCCGAACTAGGTATACTCGCATCACGCAAGACAAAGGGAAGAAAGAGACTGGCTGAGCAATTTCAGTGCTAAATTCTGCTCTCTGATCATCTTCCCAGCTATGGGTTTCAACATCTCTGAAAAGTAAAGAATGGTGTTTTAGACAATGAGGGAGGGGGGGGCTATGTCCACGCTTGGGGCAAGGTGGGGCAAGATGAGCAGGGGAAGCTGCAGCACGTGCCAGATTAGGAGAGAAGGGATCCAGTGTTAAACTGAAAGGAGAAACTTGAAGCACACAATCGCTAGCTTCCTTCAGGAGCACATAAGCTTGACTCCTAGGCATTCTCATGAGTGAAAGATTGTGATTAGAAGCGGGACATTAGTTGAGAGGAAAGCTCCAGTCATTGGCATTATATTCTAGAGTTGAAGTATAAACCAGTATGACTGCAGGACCTGTTTACATTCCAGGGAACATTCCAGCTACACAGTAAGTTGATGGCAGCAATAAATATACTTAGCAATTCTATTTTCTTTACAAGTAGAATACCTTCTTTAACTGCAAAGGAAACTATACTGATAAAGGTGGTTTACTTTTTAAAAAATTAGCTTATATTTAGTTAATTTACTTAATACTTCTGATAAATGTAAGCAAAAAAATTTACCTGAGACTATCTTAGACTTAGGGGAGAGAAGTAGAAAATTCAAAATAAAATGACTAACTCTATTTGCTCCTTTAAAAAGAAATGGATGTGGTGTTCGTTCTGTAATACTGGAAACCTCTTCTAAGAAGTAAAAGCAACGGTAAAGGAAAGAGGTCATCTGAGTCACCGTTTAGTTATCTAACAATTGTTATTTGTTGCATTGTTATGTTTAGGAATAGTAACTATTGAGAATGTTTTCCCTTTTATGACAGCAGTCTCCTGTGCTATAGTATTAAAACATTGTGAAGTATGTATTTAGAAAGTAAATCCAATATTTCCACCATACAAAATATATTGACTGAATAATTTTTGACCCAAAATACCTTTCAAAGAAAATTAACTAATTTTTGAGTTTTACTCTCTGCCTTTTGATTTTTCCCCATGGTTGCACACCCACCAAGTACATCTTCCTAGACCATATGTATGTATAGATATAATATAATATAGGTGTGCTTGCCCATAAGGAGCCCCTGAATTAAGACGCAGAGACCAAATTCACACAGATATACAATGCTTTGGCATTCTTGCCCCATGTATCATCAGACCTTTCACTGGTCCTATTTTGGTTTCAACATTTCTTGATGCCTAAAACCACGGAGGATATTAGCTTCTCATAGCATAGTCAGCATAAATCTATATCCACAAGTACACTTATTCAATTCTCAGCTGCGTGTAGAATACTTATAACAGTTTCTAAATCTTAGGCTGTCTTTTCTTTGTTAGTAGGTACATATTCTTAGAATGTCACCTCTGGCATGCAACTATTTAACTTTTGAAAATATTTTGAATAGGACAGTGGGTGTTCCAGAGATATGAATTATAATCTAGACTCAAACTTTTGGATGAGTTTCTGTCTATAATACTTCTTTTGATTTACTGATGGATATCATCAGGAACAGGCTTTCACAATGCTGTAACTAAGTTTCTTTTCAATTCCTCATTGCAGGGCACAGTACTTTTGCCAAGTATCTAAATTAGACAGAGGTTACAGGAAGGATTTAGTTTACATAATACTTTCCAAATGGGAAGCCAGACCTTTCCCACATAAATGAATACTTTTAACTAGAGGTAAAAATAGTATATCAAGATGTTCGCTTGGGGAGCAGGTTGGGGACAGGAGCTCTCTATTGCCAAACTCTCACATAATTTTAAGCCCAGGATTGTAGGCAACAGTCATATTTGCTGTTTTAAAAACTATTCCTTATAACTAAGAACAAACAGATTTCGTGGTATGATTTGGAGTAAGGATTATTGATATGCTTAGGAAGACAGGGACTGTTGCATATTTAGTATCTACCCTTCTACCATCAGGAGCATAATCCATAAAAACTGCTGAATGGAAAAAGTAGTATAATAAATGAATGACCTAAACAAAGAAGAATGAAGTACTCCAATAACCCTGAAAGCAACATGATGTGATCAAATTCTTCCTTTAGAAAATAAAATGATATCACAAAACAACGCAATTAGACCATTTTTGACAGGTGTTTGAGAAAAGGTGCAATTAACAATACAACCAATGGCATTAGAAATGCAAACTAATCAAATCTGAGGGTAACTCAATAGTTAAACCTTTATTTACTTATTAATAAGTATTGCAGATGGAAAAGGCTATTTAAGTAGCATAAAGTATGTAAATATAAACAATGAGCTTGGTAAATCTCATTTTAAAACTTTTATCACGTGAAACTTATATAAAAAAATTCATATACGGAAAACGACTTTTCCTCAACAAAAAGAAACTGATAGATGTTCAGTTCTACTATATTCCTGAAAGTGAGAACAATTGCAACTAAAATTAATTGACCATGATCAGAGACCAAGGTAAGAATTTTATAACAAGGGGCTGAGGATTTAGCTCAGCGGCAAAGCACCTGCCTGGCAAGCGCAAGGTCGTGAGTTCGGTTCCCGGTACTGTAGAAAAACAAAAACAAAAACAAAAACAAAAACAAAACATATATATATATATATATAAAGAAAATATATAAATATATTTTCTTATAAATATATAAATATAAATATATATATATATATAAAGAATTTTATAACAAAGACCAGACATACTTACACCTTTCTCTTAACATATGAATCTAGGCATATATGCACAATTGCTATTTCAAACTTCAGACTAAATAAAAATAACTCACCTGATGCAAGAATAATGAGAATCTTAGCATTGGTAGCTAAGAGGCTGTGGAAGAATTTCAGGGTAGCTGGGATATCTTTTACATAATACAGCATCTGGATAGGAGGCAAAAGAAAAATGAGACACTTCTCTATGTTGGGGTCTTTGTTACTTGAACTAGATACTCACTAGAAAGTTTGAATTTCAAGCTGAATAAATTTTTATCCAAACCAAAAAAGAAAAAAAAATGATATTTAAAGATTAAAGACATTAATGGAGAGATAAAATGGTAATGTAAGAATAAAACAATAATGTAAGAAAATATTTGGGGAAAGGAAAAACTATAGGATTTACCAAACTACAGCCAAATAAATTTAAATTTACTTTCTGCCTTCTATAACACAGATATTAATAGTTAGAGACACCCAGAATCCATTGCCCATGAGAACACTCATCCTATACCTATTCCATATTTTGAGAATTGTAATCTTTCTGGGAGCAGGTGGTACTGGCACCATAAAAACAGACCCCACTTCATGGAACACTGCTTTAAAATTAAGCCCTTTGCACTAGCTTCTCCATTCTCCATATGCTCACAGATCGTGTTTTTTTTTTTTTTAATCACAGAAAATGTGACAGGCTTTGACGTTGACAGATTCTCTAGGATACTGGACTGTGCCAAGCACGAGGTTATATGCCTGATCACAGAAGGTTAAGAGTTAGTCCAACCAATTTTAGTGAGTCTGGACCAATTCTTAGCGAAGTGTAGGTCTTTCTCCTCAACACACAGAACTTGATGGTGTGCACTGGGAGTGGTAAACTGTCCCTAATGATATGCATCCTTTATTCACTAGAGAATCTATCTCTACAGGCACTTCTTTTATTTCATTTTCACTCATTTGGATAAGAAGTCAATATTCCAAGTGTTTGCCCACAACAGAATTTACTGCATGAAAAGAAAACAACTAAAGCTATGACTCTTCACATAAATGAATGAAGTAACATAAGTCAGAACATGGTGCATGATTCCTCAGTGGCTGTATTTAGTATCAGTGCACTCCATGTCAACTACCACAGGGACTGTGGATAGGTCCCTGCATATAGCTAATGCATAAGATGACGAACAACCTATGACACACCTTGGATGGAAAAGATGCTGTGGGCTGCAGCAGATTCCCTGTTTTTGTCTAACACACATTTAGGTCCTTGCATTGGCAGTGAATACTAAGTTGAGAAGATGTCATGAGGGTGTTATGGTATGAGTAGACACACCTCAGAGAGGCATAGTAGGTCAAGTGGGAAAGAGAGGAGTAAAATAGTGATGCTGAAGGAAGCAGAGTTTATATAAGAAAGCACAAACACAGAAGTCTTGGAAGAAATAGGAGAAAGAATGTGACCTCTCGAGCTATGATATTTCATAACAGAAGAATGAAATTCAGGGCTTAGAGGAATAACCAGAGGTTATTGCAATAATACGGAAGAAGGACCTGGTGGTTATAAGTGCATGCACATTTGCACGTTTAGAGGATGAAAGATGAGTTTTCATCTGATGATTTCTATTTTCTCTGTATCATATAAAGTGAAGTCATGAGTGGGAATGAATGGTTGGAAGATTGTCGGAGATGTGAGGAGACAGAGGAGGTAAGAACTTCCTTGAGGAGATGGGAAAACAAGTGTAACAAAGAAATATTGTAGACCTGCCAGGCAAGGTTAAGTACTCCCCGAGGGATAAGAGATTTTGTCAGCTAAGGAAGCCGAGATATATGATTGTCAGAATGTCAAACTTGAGGAGTCCTTTCTTCCTTTGGTTTATTATAAACCCACTCTTTTTCAGTAACTATGGTTGTGGGCTACAGAAGGAAAAGTATTTTGTTGTTAACCAAGTGGCATATCTAAAATGTGTGTATCTCCCAACAATAGCCAACTTCCACACTCTCATGCTATGCAGAAATACTAGTGACACCAGCAGATCGAGCCTCATGACTTATACTAATCACACATTATTTTGTTGGTGTTAGACCACAGAAGTAAAATCTTACTGAATTCATATCATTAAAATGTTATTGGTCTCAGAAATCACAGAACCTATGCCTTATCTGTCATGTATATACTAGCCAGGTCACCCACGGAAGGCAAAAGCAAGATGATTCAGAAAAACTCTGGGACATTGGACCTTAGAGTATTTGAGTCACTTAAAAACCTGTTAGGATATGTTGTCACACTCTTGTCATCAAATCTATACATTAACTTTCCATTGTACAAAACTAATTAAGACAATATTGACAAAAAATGATGCCGTATGAATGAAGACAACGAACTTTTTAGATATTAATGAAAACTGATAGCAAGACTCATTTGGACAGGTAATGTTCACTTTAAAAACTAGAAATCAGAACATTTTTATCTTTAAAGATATTAAAACATTGTACATTCTTCATACATATATATGAAAAAAATCTCTTTTCTGATAATATATTACAATAAATATTTCTTACCTGAATCATATGAATAAAGTCCCACTTTTGAATCTCCTTTTTCTCCATCACTCTGTTTTGATATTCAGATGATGTCTCCTTATGCCAAACAAACTTTATGTTCTCAAGATTTGATGTCTTGGCTACAAGCTCTAAAATTCAAAGAAGAGGTGGCACACCATCAATTTTAATTGCAAATGTGGAGCCCATTTCCATTTAGAATTTTAATGTAATCAATGTTATATACATAACAGACATAAACCACATTTTTCTTTTTTATGTAGCTCTGAGAAACTAGAGGGCTCATCTTAATTTTTCTTCCACTATTAAATGAAATTAGAGGTGGAAGAAAGAGTCAATCATAAGTAATGAGAACATGGTCAGACAAAGGTTACAATATCTTAGTATATAAGTGGGGAATCAATTGGAGAATTTTATTAGTAGACAACTGATGTGAAACAGGTGACATGTTTGTGCAACCCAGGAGCAAATGAACCACAGCAGGGACTCCACCTGACCCACCACCTATTTGTCTGTGGACTACAAGCTAAAACCAGACAGTGTTCTGCTTCCTAGCTCTGTCTCTGTCATTCATGTCTCATGTTAGTTATACTATTAAATGATTCAAAAAAATCAAAAGGATAAATTCATAATTTGTCAAATTGATACGAAATTCAAATATTTCTGTTTACAAACAAAGTTTCATTTCGACAGGTAATGCTCACTTTAAAAACTAGAAATCAGAACATTTTTATCTTTAAAAATAGAATGCGATCATGCTCAGTTTACATATTGCTTATGGTGGCCAGAGTTGATTAGTTGTGACAGGTTTTGTGAACTTGTGAATCTAAAACATTTACTATTTAGTCCTTTTCAGGAAAAGTTTACTGTCTCCTCCTGTAGTCCAATAACATAAGCTCTTTCAGGGCAGAGACGCTTAAATATTTCTGAATGAATAAATCAGTGAATCAACTTTAAGAACAGTAGCTGATGATGACAGGGGAATGGATAGTCAATGAAAGAATCTAATTGTTCATTGTTTATATCCAAGGTGTTCAGTCATGTCTGCAACAAATAACTAGACTCTTCTCCCAGCAAGCTTAGAAAGAGCATACCTGGGTACCCATACTATTAATCATCCAAAGCAAAAATATGAGATGATAAACTTTTGGGGATAACATTTTGTATACAGCTCAGTGGGTTACAGGTACCTTTGTACTTGGTGATTTGTTCGGCACTTGGTTCAATAACTTCATTGATGATAGGAACTCCTGGGTATCGAGCCCTGAATTTGGAGAGAATTTGAAGATCCATTTCACCTAGAAAATAAATACTTGTTACAGGTTACATCATTCCAGGAAGAAGTGATTAAGAGCAGTTTGTGCTCATTTATTATCTGTCTTTCATTGCTGTGTAGTTCAGCCTGCCTTGAATTCACTTTGTGACCCAGGCTGGCCTTGAACTTCAAGCAACTCTCCCGCTTCTGCCTTCACGTGCTGGGATTACAGGTGTGAACCGCCACACCCGGCAAATGTTAGGTTTCAAATAGAAACAGTATGACTTGAGGAGGTGTAGGATGCCATGCATCCATCCATTCATTCATTAATCTCTAATAGCCAGCACTGTATTTAGCTAAATCAAAGAATATCATCGACTGTAGGAAGCAATCCTTACTTTTGTTTCACTAAGTAAAATAACTGTCAAGTATAATTTAAAGATTTTATCAATTGGCAGACATAACTTAAATAACAGGCATTAAAATATGAAAAAGAATGTATGTATCTCAGAACTGAATAAACGAGTCTAGGCTGGGAGGATTTCAAACATGTTAGTTGAAAAAAGACACAAACACATGTTAGGTACAAATACAGGATACGAAAATATGTCAGACATCTGCCTTCAAAAACTCCACTGCCTGGTGGAAGGCATGGACATAGAAACAACTGTGGGTGTGCTGGGACAGATGACAGAAGAGGCCAGTATGGGGCAGGGATGTACAAATGCAGTCATTCTCGGGCTCTCCTCTCTCTCCAGGTGAGGTGGAGCTGGCTCAGAGACCTCAGGAAACTGAAGGGTTGCAGGTAGAAGGGACAGGATGACGGAAGCACAAAGTCAAGAAAAAGAAGGGTATATATGGAACTACTAGCAGTTCCGAGTCATTGGAATATTCAACAAGGCAAGACCTCCAAGAAAGAGGAATCCCAGGGGTAAACAGAGAGAATATGGATCAAATGGGTATTCTTTCACTCACTCATTCATCAGCTATTAGTGGACTATTTACCATGTGCCAGGAACTGCAGTAATCTCTAATAATAGTGATAAGAAGGACAAGTAGATTTCTTTCCCATTAGAAATTCAACTTGTCAGTGATAGTATATGGGACAGTGGAAAGTCAGAGGGACTCAAGTTCCAAACTTTGCCCTTTCCATATGCTAAGTGTATATGACTTTAGTCAGTTTGCTTTGCTTTTCTAAGCTTCAGTGTCCTCACCAGAAACTAAAAAGAATAATAATACCTAATTCATGAGTTCTGAGGGTTAAATAAGGTACTGTATATTAATTACAGTGCAAAACAGAGTTGCCACTGAATAAATGTTAGTGCTGAATTGTATTTATTGTTATCACAGAGTTCCCCTCTTTAAAAATATTCCTGGTCTCCCCATCATTGATGCCTCCAAATTATGTTTTATGCTTTTATTCATTTAGGGTATGATATTGACTTGCATTAAAGTGGAAACATCTCTTGGCAAGATTAGCATATGAAAATTATGTTAGTCTTTAATATTTTGGCATAAATGACATGAACAGAAACTTTCCAAGATCAGATATGGAAGAGAGCAAAAGCATGGCTCATAAGACCAGGAGAGTTGTGGTTTTTCTTTTTTTTTGTATCAGGAATCAAACTCAGGACCTCGCTCTTGCCAGGCAGGCTCTGTGCCACTGAGCTATGTCTCCAGCCCGAGACTGGGACAGTTGGAAGGAAGGAGATAAAAAAGATAAGCCAGGAAGAGAAGATGCTAGGCCAGGAAAAGAGGGCAGTCAGTGGCAGAATAACAGCCCCGACTACTGCTAAGTAGACGTGAACTCTGAAGTCGGTGTGGATGGGAAGAAGGGCAAGAGGGAAGGAAGCTGAAATCGGGCATGTTGTAGTCAGGATTTACAAGGGAAAAGAATTTATACAGGATGCATAATTTATAGGATTATTTCATAAGATTCACCTGAAGAGTCAAGTGCAGAAGGGTGCAGGAGATCTGTCCACACACTAAAGACTCAAAGAATCCAACTAAGGACCTGGATCCCATGGCAATGTCCTGCATGAGTCCAGCTGAAGATCTGAAGCCCATGGCAATGTCCTCCATGAGTCCAACTGGAGGCCTAGAGCCCATGACAAAGCCTCACGCAAGTCTGTATCGGGGATCTGCACTGGGAAGGCCCAGAGGTCAGTGGTAGAAACTAGGAAGTCTGTGCCAGCAGGATGAAGGATTTGTGCCAGCAGGCTGAGGGATCTGCACTGGCCCAGGAAGCTATGCTCAAGGTAAGGCCCAGAGCTCCCCACAAAAGAACTGCAGCCATCTTCAGGGACAGTGAGGATCTGAGTTCCTCCAAGGATGAGAACAACTGAGTTCTTATCAGGAAAGCCAGCACAACAAGCTTCTCCAGGAGAATCAATAGCACTCTCCTCTAATTCTGTTTTTATGCTGTTGGCAACAATCCACAGGTGGGTGGGCCTTCCATACCTGGCACCCTGCTAACTCAGTTCAGCTGGGTGTTCCAAGCTGACCATTAGTTAAGGCCTAAATCTGGAATGTTTCTGTCTAAAACTAGAGTGTTTATTTTGCCTGATTACTTTGTACCAAGGATTAGGAAGACACCAAATACTAAAATGACATAAAGACTATTTTATTCTTCTCTACAACAACTATTTTTGAAAGAAAAAAGGGAAATTGCTGATAAGAAAAGCTATGGGCTAAGAAATAGAGGGATCCCAGCCTGTCTCAAAGGATTAGGAACACTCAATAATGAAAGTTCTAGTCTTGTTTCTATCAGTTTAGCCACCACCTTCAATTAAAAGCTCATCAACTGTGGAGCGCTCAAATTCAGAATTCTGAAAAAAATGGCTGACATACTTTTCCCCGTGTGAGGTTTGATGAATTCTCCTTCTCTTAAGATAGGTTCAGACATTTCAGATCTGCTTAAATAGCAGATCACAGTCAGCACAGCCCCAAACCTGTTCAGAAACAGGCAGTCCCCTGCTCCTGGGTCACGGATAGAAGACACAATGCCAGAACTGCACCTGAGATTTAGAAACCGTGGGTTTAGACAGACACACCTAGAATGCAAGCCCATGCATGCTGCATCTCTAGCAAATCTATGAATAACGGAAGGAGGTCCTGAGACTGTGTTGTCAGGAGCAAGATCAGAGAGAATGATCAGGCTTCCTGTTTGCCAAGGACACTCTCAGTAATGCCTATTGTCCTATGTCCCATCTGGCTTTATTTCGCTCTTAAAGATTTCATTTTTAACAATACAGTACTATTATAATTTTATGTCTTAAAAGTTTTTTCCCCAAAGAACTATCCCTTAAATAGATCAGTACAATGAAACAAATATGAAAATTGAATAATACATAAATATTTTAAAATGATGATAATTTTAATTATTCTACATACTTGCTCCACCTCTCACTGTCAAAAGCATCCTAGGTTGGACAGTCAGTAACACCACTGTGTACTCAGGGTCTGGTTGAAGCCTGCTCCTCGCAGGTAGCACCATTTAGTCATGCTCACATGGCACAAGAGCCTGCCAAGTTCCTTGTGCTCTTTTTTTCCAGTTCCGCCAGCAGCACACAGGGCTCTTATTTATTTCTTTACTAAGACACATGATGTGTCCCTTCAGGTGCCTTATTTTCCTTTAATTTGAAAAAGAAAGAAAGAAAGAAAGAAAGAAAGAAAGAAAGAAAGAAAGAAAGAAAGAAAGAAAGAAAGAGGAGAGAATGAGAGAAAAGAGAATGAGAGAAAAAAGAGAAAAACAAAAAGAAAGAGAGAGAGAAAAAGAGAAAGAACAAAAGGAAAGAGATACCCTTCATGCTGTCTTATAAGGTCACTAATTCTGTTCATGAGGATAGGGGTCTCATGATCTGATCCCATCCTAAAAGTCTCATCTCTTAACACATTTGCATCAGGACTAATGACAATTTTGAAGGAATGTAAACATTTAAACCATAGCAAATATTAAGAAGGACCCTGAATGTTAACCATGCCCTTTGAGTGGTGATGATGCGTCAACGTACATTGATGAATTTTATAAATGTACAAATTTGTTAGAGGAGGTTAATAGCTGTTATGGTTTGTGTCTGGGTGTCCCCCCAAAGCCTCATGCAGTCATAGGGTGGGCTTCTAGAGTTTATGAATGATTCATGGTCCAATGTTGGGATTATGGGTGTGAGTGCTACACCTGCCCTGGGGTGGGTGGTTGGCATAGACTGTAAGGGAGGGAAAGAGGCTGCATGCTGCCAGTCCTCCCTTTTACTTTTGGATATGAGTGGGGAAATCACAGGTGTGACCTTAAAGCTGTGTCTGGTCCCTGACACCTTCTCCTGGGGTGAAGTAGGAGAGCCTACTGTTCTGTTCCCAGGTTTCATGAGGTTAGCAGCTGTCATCTACCATGCCTCTATGCTGTGATGCTCCTGCCTTCTTTCCAGGAGGTCATAGACTTAAACCTTTGAAACCATTAGCCAAAACAAACCTTTCCTCCTTTAAGTTGAAACTGTCAGTTTTGTTCTCTCAATGATAGAAAGTTGATCAGTACAGGCCCAAATCATCAATCATCAAAAATACTGTATTCATACCCTGCTGAAAGGTCAGCCTACTTCTTTCTGATCTAGTCTCCCTCAAAGATAGCACCGTGACAACCATTTTAAACTCTAAATTCAGTAAGTCCATCACTTCACTGCTTAAAGTCTTCCAATAGCTTTGATCAACTGGGTTAATGCCAACCTCCTTGAGAAAACATGGCTCACACTGCCTGCTTCCTTGTTCTTATCTCTCACAATTTCATATTTTGAAAATCTGGTCCCAGGAACTCTGAGTCACTTGTATACTTGCTGCCTTTCTCTGGGTACCATTCCCCTCCATGCCTGTTGCCTTTGTGCATGTTTTCTTCCCCACTTGGAATGCTCTTCCACACTTTACTTTACCTGGCTAACTCCTATACATTTTAGAGGAAACCTACCACAAGTGACTGCTTATTCTGATATTGTTTCTCACAGAGTCTGGAAGCAGCTTCAGAATCCTCTGGACAATAGCTCCTCATCAATTGCA